AAGTTGTTGGGAAGGTGTCCTCCTGATCAATTCACATTTCCAACTCTTGATTTTGCTTCTTTTTTATATTTTTGCAGATTTTTTTTGAGAGGCAGCAAGACTGATAGACAGAACTCTCATGCACTGGTTCATGCACCAAGCACCTGCAACAGACAGGCTTCGGCCAGGCCAAAGCCAGGAGCTGGAAGTTCAATCCAGGTCTCCCACACCCAAGTATTGGATCCCTTCTGAGAGTCTGCATTAGCTGGAAGCTGGAATTAGGAGCAGAGACAAGACTTCAACCCAGGCGCTCTGGTACGCAATGCAGGTGTCCCAAGAGGCAGCGTAGCCACTGAACCAAATGCCTATGCTGACTCTGTTTTGATACTGTCAACTGATAAACATAATCTTCCAAAGCAATAGCTTGTGTTTTTATTGAATGTAATTACAAAATAGCTTAAATGTCTATCTGTCTTCGGAGTGATATAATTTGAAAATCTTTGGAATTTTTTGAAGATTCGGTTATTTGAGCAATGTCTTCTCACCCAAATCTTGTTTCTTGTGATGTCAACAAGTACTGAACATTATGTAGGATAAAAAGTGTTGATAGAAATATTTATAGAGTCTGTATACAAGGGGGCTTCAAAAATTGTGGAAAAATAAAATTAAGATATGTTTATTTTGATGCAAAACTGTTTCAACTCCATGCATAGTTTTTTTAAAATATGCACTTTCTATGAATTTTTGAAGACCCCCTCATATTTTTTAGGTCAGTAGCTTTAGAGTTCTTTTGAAGCATAAAGTTCTCCATTTTGAATAATGTAGAATTAATATTTTCTGACTCTTATGCAGGAAATCAGCTACATTTGTTGCTGTGGATTCATTCTGAGAGGAGGAGCATGGTGGGGGCAAGAGGCGTGGAGTCACCACACAGACCCCGGGAGTCAGGTGAAAGCAGGCCAGAGGTGAGCAGCCCACAGACTCATCTATTTCAGTTGCAACAGCAGCTTAAATAGCCAAGAAAGCCTATCTGGTTAAGGGGTGGTTTATGCCCTAACCAATCACAGCCTGTTGCCAGGAAGTATCCAAAGCCATCAATCACAGCCTGTTGCCAGTCATGCTCTGTTGCCAGGGGGTTTCCCAGGGGGTTTCCTAAGCCACTCCTGAGTAACTGATGCTTGCTTGCCAGTGGCCATTTTGGCATGGCCTTCTCATTCCACCATACATTAACATCTTTCAACTATAATTTGTCTGAGAAACTGTTTTTAAAACATTTCCTTTATAAAATTTAAATGAAAATCAGTAGGAGTTTATGGGTAATCTACTATATAACTTAGTGTGTAGGCTATAGCCAAAGCCACTACTGTAAAGGCCAAGTGATTTGACTTGGCCCCTGGTTTGATCTTGGGATACTCTGGCTGCAAAGTCATTGCTCTCTCAGAATGCTATGAAGTTAGAAAATGCTAGGTGGGAGTGCTGGCATCGTGGTGTAGCAGGTAAAGCTGCTGCCAGCAGTGCCGGCATCCCATATGGGTGACGGTTTGAGTCCAGGCTGCTCCACTTCCAATCCAGTTCTTTGCTATTGCCTTGGAAAGCAGTAGAAGATGGTCCAAGTCTTTGGAGCCCTGAACCCACGTGGGAGACTCAGAAGAAGCTCCTGGCTCCTGGCTTCAGATTGATGCAGCTCCAGCCATGGCAGCCAATTGGGGAATGAACCAGTGGATGGAAGACCTCTGCCTCTCTGCCTCTTCTTCTCTCTCTGTGTTATTTTCAAAAAATAAATAAATAAAAAGAAAATGCTAGGTGGGAAAACATGAAAAATGACTACATATCAGGCACTAAGATCAGAGAACACCATTTCAAGACAAACCTCAAAAGCAAGTAATCAACTATTTCTAAGAAAACAGAGCTTGTAAAGGTTCCTCTGGCATTTTTGCAAAGGAATACAGAGTTTAAAATAAAGGCGGGCATAAATAAGCTTTAGGAAGATAAGCTGACAAGTTTTCCTTCAAAAGAATCTGCTGAAGCCAAGAAAATGGTCATATTAGAAACAGATTATTTGAGAGGATAGTTGACACCTGTATTTTTCTAAGAAAGTCAATCATTAGAGATGAAATGGTCAAATATCAGAGAAAGTAAGACTGTGTGGTGATAGAAATAAATACTAAAGTGCTCTTTAGACTCGGAGCTTCTACACAGAACAAATAGTTAAGGGTGGGTCTGGGGGCTTACGATGGCCCCCACACAATCCAGTGAATGTAACTGTTGTGCAGGACAGAGAAACACAGACAGAGTAGTGGTCTCAACATGGGAGTCAAAGGGTTTCCTCTGATCTCTCCAGAGAGTGCAGACAGCACACTGCCAGAGTGAGGTGTTCAATTGGGAAGAAAGTTCTACAGACAGTTTGTGGGACCAGCGCTGTGGCACAGCACTGTGGCCTGAAGCACTGGCATCCCATATGGATGCTGGTTCAAAACCTGGCTGCTCCACTTCCAATCCAGCTCTCTGCTATGGCCTGGGAAAGCAGTGGAATATGGCCCAAGTCCTTGGGTCCCTGCACCCACATGGGATTCATGGAGGAAGCTCCTGGTTCCTGGCTTCAGATCGGCACAGCTCTGGCTGTTGTGGCCAATTGGGGAATGAGCCATCAGATGGAAGACCTCTCTCCCCCTCTCTCTGCCTCTCCTCTCCCTGTGTAACTCTGACTTTCAAATAAATGAATAAATCTTTTAAAAAGAGGGCAGTTGGTTTAGTTCCTTGTCATTACACACACATATAAATGCTATTTGAAATCTCCCTGCCCATCCAATAAAATCCCACAAACATGAACACAGGCACACATATGTCACATACCCTAGCCCACACTTGAATAGGCCTGAGCCACACAAATGGACACACCACAGTGCACATCTAACACACACACATACATGTGCATAGTATTTGATGTGAGTGGGTATACGCAAACATATATTTCATAAAGGTACACACACTCATACACTTAACCTTCACACACATAGTACACACAGATGAAGGTACACATGAAGATATACAATAACAACACTAACAGAGATTTATACATATGTTAGACAAGCACACACATCACAATGCATGTATGAACATTAACATATACTCATGCACATGTGCACACAGATACAGACACAGATGTACAATCAGAAGGTTCCAGAAAAGAAGTAATTTTATCTCAATGATGGTTGAAGAATTTAAAATGAGAAAAAGGAGACATTAACTACAAGAAAGGGGGGAATAAC